CTCTCTCTCTCGTCTATGTATGTATATACTCGGATACTGGAACAAATCTGCTCGACATTATTCATCAACGAGACTGGATTACTCGAGTTGCTTTGTCATTGAGCCATTGGACTATTGCTGCACGAGCRCGGATGCTCGTGCGTTGCTGCGAACAGTATCTGGATGTTCAATGAGTGTTATCTTGCCTGGGTTCATTGCAGATTGGTATCAGAGCAGTTCTTCCGTACACTTGTAAGGAGGAGTATTGCGCGCACGTGCGCGCGCTGAACTTACATCACGACGACAATCAAGATCACGAAGGTGATCACGACCTTGATCATCACGACGTCGACCGCGACCACGATCCCGAAGAACGTGATCAAGTGGATGATCGTCACGAACACGACCGCAATCACGACGAACGTGATCACGGAAGACACGATCACGAACATGATCTTGAAGCTTGACAAGAACATTGTGACGAAGATCACAACGACGACGAAGATCACAACGATGACGAGGATCATCACGACGACGAAGAGCATATGACGACGAAGTTCCATCGGGCCGAACGCACGTGCCCGATCAAGACCGACGCGCGCTGGCTGATGTGGCAGAGGGAAGCGGGAAATGAAGTATTGAACCGCAATTTTTTTTATTTTTTTTTTATCGCGCGCGATTGTCTAGACACGACACACTCATTCCCCTTGAAGAAGCTGTGCTTGTCGGTACAGAAGATGATGATGATGATGCTTTGAAGACAAAGACGATCTTGCTGACGTAGCAGAATTGTATCAAATTGGCGAGACCTTGAGCAGGGACCTTGATTGCTGACGTGGAAGGGGGGATACTGGCTTGTTGTTGTTTCCCTGCTGACGCGGCTTAATTGAAGTTGTATCTGGGGGCCAGATTGGCTGACGTGGCACCCCCCTCTTGATTGATTGATCACTTGATGCTGACGTGGCAAGTGTTGTGTGCTTGCTGAGTTGGCATTACCGGGGTGTTACGTGATTGGCACGTGTGTGCCTGGGTGGAAGGATCATTCTGACGACAGAGGCGGTACAGCTAATTGAATAGCTGTAGTGCCAGCTGTCGCAACAGGGTGATTGTTGCTTTGATCAGGACAGACACAGGGGATTATTGATGCTCACATATTGATTGCTGTTGATGTTGGCTTGTTTTCCCTGTGTCGTTTGTTTGTCATGTGCTGGCATACTCACCTGTGTGTATCTGGTCACTGTGTCCGGATCGGTACCTGCAAAAGCACGTCATCACATTGAGTTAGATAAATAAGAACAGCGAAGAAAAAAAAAAAGAAAAATAATTGAAAAATATTYTGCAGTTATTTTGCTGTAATTGATCTTGCTGTATTYTGCGYCGTGGAATTAATTATTGCTATTATTTGTTTATTGTGCGRTAGATCCCCCACATCGAAATGTCTCAGGAAGAGACTGTTCAGACCCCAGCTGAGGGCCAGAGTGTTGAGCARCTCCCTGACCCTCGTACCAGGGCCCAGGTAGAGCAGAGACGACAACAGTTGTCTGGCCGGCTCAACCTTCTGGCCACCGAGCTGCACAATGCCGGTGCAGATGCTGAGTCACATGTGCGGGCCCAGTTTGATCTGCGGAAAGCCCAGGCAGACCTGGATGCAGCTCAGACTGGCACCGACCTATTGAAGGTACAGGAGTTCATTATCCAGTGCCGTAAAGCACTGGATGTGYTMATCTGTCAGCAGTTTGACGACATTGCGAATGRCAGAAATGCCAAAAATGATGTGGTGGYCACAGAGCAGACAATTGATGAGAATATTCGCCAGCTGGAAGAAGCTCTTGAAAAAGAGAAAACCCGCAAGGCAGAAATGATAAAGAAAAAAGAGCAAGATAAACAGCAAGCAAAACGAGAACAAGAAGTCAGACAGCATGTGGTAACTGTGGCAGGGGAAGAGCAGGTTGTGGCGCTGAACCAATTGGTTGAGTACGTTGCTCACTTGGAGACAAGGCTCAACCATTTTGAAGCAAAGATTGAAGAATTGACCGTGGGTCTGACTATTGTGACTAACCTAGTGAAGGGAAAGGAAAAAGAGGTTCAGAAGGAACAACCTAAGAAGAAACTGATGAGTGATGCAATGAAAGATCTTCGGGTGGAGGTAAAGAAAGGAGAATCGTCTTCACCACCACCTCCACCGAGTCCACCACCCAGTCCAGGTGGCAAGAAGGATAAGGAGGAGAAACCTGAGAAACCCAAGAAGAAAGAGAAGGTAAAGATGAAATTGCCTTTCACGTTCAGCAACAAAAAGGATGAAAATTTGTTGCTGTGGATTGCAGAAATAGAGACCTACGTCGGGACGACCCCAGTTGAAGAAGAGTCACAGGTCGCCTTCTCCACGTCGTGCCTTGGAGGGGAGGCGAAAGAGTGGGTCCTGGCCGAAGCCAACGCGGCAGGATTCGACGACATCGGTAAGTGGGCCGGTACGATGACCCTGAAACAGTTCCTGGACAAGATCCAGGAACGTTTTCTTGACAAGAGAACTGCCGATAAGGCCTTCGATCAGCTCACTACCGTAGGTCTAAAACATTGGACGTCTGTGGAGGCGTTGTCCCGTGAGGTCGACCGATTGCTGCAAGTACCGGGCTTAAATCTGCAGGATGATCAGGTCCTGTATATTTATGTCCGGGCCTTACCTGAACCCATACGAAGTCAGTTAGTGGCCAAGTCAAAGTCAGGTAAGTACAAGTACCGATAGTTTTGTGATCTGGCTCTCCAAAGAGAGCAAATGACTTCTCAAGTTAAGCAGTCATATGCATCTGTGGTAAGATCTGGTGATAATGCAGGTACATGTGCAAGATACAGTAAGCGAGTCCTTTGGCGCCAAAAGCGTCAGGACCACATGCTTGTCGTCTTTGACGACGACACAGTGGAGAAGCTACCGTTAGATGAAGAAGGAGTTCCTAGCAGCAGTGAGTCCGGAAAGGGGGACATCACTGCTGCTGTGGTCAACAAAGGAGGACCACGAAGTCCGTATAGAGGGAGGAAACCTCGCTCGTTTCCTGCGCACCCAGGTATCGCGGCATTCAAGCCGTGGGAGAAAATGGAGATTGACCAAAAGACCTGGCAGGATAGAATGGATAACGCGCAGTGTTTGAAGTGTGGAAAGGAGGGACACACCATTGCATGGTGTTCACTCATCCGACACCCAAAAGCGAGCCGCCAGTAGGAGTAGCATCTGCTCCTACTGAGTTGAAGAAGTCAGACGATGAGAAAGGTAAGGCGCCTACTAACCCTTTCACTTCTTCGACTCGCGTGGCAGAGGATGGTTGTTCTCCGGCCCATCATCCAGATCACCCTGAACCTGTCTTATGTTCCGTCTCTCTGGATGACTCCTTTGATGAGCTTGGTAATGAGTTGCTGGCATTACGATGCTCATGGGCAAAGAAAGCAAAGTCTAAGGGTGAACTATTACTCGCGGATATAGAGATCGCACACGAACGGACGGGTGCACTTTTAGACTTAGGATCTACACGATCCTACATTTCTGAGAGAGCTATTCGCAAGCTTCATCTTGGAATGAAGGTAAAGTGTTTAGCACGACCTATCACGTCTATTCTCGCTGATAAAAGCACGATCATTGTCTCTCATTATGTCGATCGTGTGAAATGTAAGTTCAGAACTAAAACTTGAAAGAAGATTGTGCGTGAAATATCCTTCCTAATTGAGAAGAATTTGCCTTTTGATATGATTCTGGGAATGGATTGGCACGAGGAAACCAACCCAGAAATCAAGTTCAAGGAAAAGGAAGTACGCCTGAAAAACGCACAATCCGAATTCGAGGACATCAAACTGTATCATAAGTCTGAATCTGACTCTACTCTGTCTTTCTGTTGTATGAGCTATCCAGCTTTTCGATCGATGGTCAGAAAGAAGTAATTGGATCAGGAGGTAATGATGGTGTTGGTAAAGGAAGTTGGTGAGTCTTCGACACCTTATCCTTCATCGATACAAAAACTCTTAGATGAGTATAAAGATCTATCTCAGGAACCTACTGGGATCACTGAGCGTGCTATCAAACACACTATCGAGATCATTCCTGGAAGTAAGACTCCCAAGGGCCCTATCTATCGAATGTCGCCTAGGGAACTCGAGGAATTGCGCAAGCAACTCCATAAATTAACTGACAAAGGATGAATTCGCCCTAGTTCCTCACCTTATGGAGCGCCTGTCTTATTTGTGACCAAAAAGGAAGGTGAGTTGCGTCTATGCATTGACTATAGAGGGTTGAACTCCGTCACTGTGAAAAACGTTGAACCCCTACCACGAATTGACGACTTGTTGGATCAGCTGCAGGGTTGTAAGTACTTCAGTAAGATTGATTTGAAGTCGGGGTACCACCAAATCAAGGTGGCGCCTGAAGATCAACACAAGACTGCTTTTCGAACCAGATATGGACACTACGAGTTTGTGGTCATGCCCTTTGGTTTGACGAATGCCCCTGCGACCTTCCAAAGGTCTATGAACGAATTGTTTCGACAATGGTTGGATCAGTTTGTAATTGTATATCTCGATGACATCCTAGTCTACAGCAAAACGCTGGAGGATCACGAGAAACACTTGCGTCTCGTTTTGGGTAAGTTACGCGAAGGTAATTTCAAACTTAACCCAAAGAAGTCTGAGTTTGCAAAACCTGAAGTGCTCTACTTAGGGCATACAGTCAATGAAAAGGAACTCAGACCGGAAGCGAAAAAAATTTCAGCGGTTAGAGATTGGCCACAACCAAAGTCCATCACTGAGTTGAGATCCTTCCTTGGGTTAGCTAGTTATTATAGGAAGTTTGTTAGGAACTTCTCCTTAGTTGCTGCTCCCATGAGAAGACTCCTGAAGAAAGGAACCATATGGTTGTGGGACAAGGACCGTGAGTCATCAATGAAGAAGTTAAAATATGCACTGACTCACTACCCTGTTCTGAAAATCGATGATCCATCTCTTCCCTTTATTGTGACCACTGACGCAAGTCAGTATGGAATTAGCGCAGTTCTACAGCAGGATGATGGTAAGGGTTACATACCTATTGAGTTCATGTCTGCCAGACTTCCTACTCAGAAAGTCGCTGACTTCACTTACGAAAGGGAATTATATGCACTTGTCTGTGCACTGAAATCCTGGAAACACTACTTGTTAGGGAGGCACTTCACTGTCTACTCAGATCACTCGAGACTTAAGTGGATAAAAACTCAACCAAGACTCTCTGACAAACTAGTACGATGGTCTGCTTTCCTCGACACCTTTGACTTTGAGTTGAAGACAATCAAAGGTAAGTCTAACGTTGTGGCAGATGCATTGTCTAGGAGAAGTGATTTCTTTGGAACCATTGTCTCTTACTTGGATATTGGAAATGATGTACAGGAACAGATTCGACAAGGTTATGCTAATGACCCTATCTGGAAACCCATTATTAACCTTGTCACTAAGGATCCTGCCCTGCTACCCAAGTACAAGATGACAAATGGATCGCTTTTCTTGATAGACGAAACTGAACAAAGGTTGTGTATTCCTCACAAAGAAGAGATTAAAAGTCTGCTGATTGGGGAATGCCATGACTTTGCAGGACATTTTGGTTTCAAGAAAACTTATTCAGACGTAAGAGAACGCTTCGATTGGAAAGGATTAAAGGAAGATGTACTAACGTATGTGCGTACTTGTCTGGTATGTCATAGAAACAAACCACCACATGAGAACCCTCTGGGTCTACTAAGGCCCCTACCGATTCCTAGCGAACCAAGTGAGTCTATCTCCATAGACTTCATGAGTTTCGTCAAGAGTCGAAATGGCAACAGTCAAGTGATGGTTGTAGTTGATCGTTTCTCTAAGTATGCAATGTTTATTCCTTTGCCTGCTGAAGCGAAAAATGAGTTTGTGATCCAGAAGTTTTAGATGCAATGGGTAACTGAGTATGGATTTCCATTGTCTATCGTATCTGAGAGGGATGTGAGGTTCACAAGTATGCCATGGCAAAAGCTGATGGAGGCATACGACACTCGTTTAACCATGTCGTCAGGACGCCATCCTGAAACAAATGGGCAAAGCGAGCAAATGAACCGCTTGTGCCAACAGCTCTTGCGCATGTATGTCAGGCCCGATCAGATTGATTGGGACGAGAGCTTACCAAAAATAGCTAGTGCATACAACAGCAGCGTCCACACTGCAACCAGACGCACTCCTAACACACTACATAAAGGATGGAAGCCGTGACGTCCCATTGATGTATTAACCATGGACTAATTTTTATGGCTACCGCCAGGAACCCGTGAATATGCAGTTCTGTTCCAGGAAGACATCCAGAAAGTTAAGGAGAACCTAAAGAAAGCACAAGAATAGATGATTAACCAGGCCAACAAACATCGAAGACCTGCTAACTTTCAAGTAGGTGACATGGTTTGGGTAAAGTCTAATGAGTTCTCCTTGGAAGAAGATGTTTCACAGAAATTGCTGCCTATCTTCTTTGGGCCCTGAGAAGTTCTCGAAGTAATTGGAGATGCAGAGGGACCATCCTACAAAATTGATATTCCCCCGCATCTCAAAACCTAATGTGTATTCCATGCCTCTAAGTTGCTACCGTATGTGGACGGAGATGAGTTTCCTAACAGGCCTTCTATGATTCCACCTTCGATGGACGGAAGTTATGAAGTAGATCGGATTGTAGACCATGGGTTCTTCTCCAGCGGAAGGCGTGGACGACCGCAGAAGCAGTTCAAGGTAAGATTTAAGACTCAAAAACCATCCGAGGATCGGTGGTTCAGCAAACAACAGCTCCTTGAAATTGCTCCTGACATTGTCTCTGCATATGAGCGTGGGTTGAAAGGTTAATTATTTCTGCGATGGAACTCGAAATTGGGTCGGCAGGAATGCAGTAACCCGCACTCTGCAGAGGCCGGGCTGTGTGACCACGCACTGCCCAGCCCAGCCCAGCGTTTGGCCAGTGAGACCCAGCGCTGGACTGGGGAAATTCAAAGGTCAAAGTTAACTGTCGGGTCGCAGGTACCATACCCAAGTCCACGAACAGATACACACATGTGTTGTATGCAGGTACCGGGCCAAGACATCGGACCAAGGGATAAACAGTTGCAGACCGATCCAGGTCGTCGCCGCATCAAGATCTTGACGGCACAGGACCACTGCAGCGGGGCATTGACCCCAAGTCAACGCTACTTAAGGTTGACTTATGGCTTTGACATCATTCATTCTGTCGCGAGTCAAGGATGACTCTACTTTGACGCGAGGCTGGCTTGTGAGGTGCTGGCTAATTGCTAGCTGGACGCTGGCGTTCCTAAGCGGCGACACGCTGCTTGCTTGCTGGCATGGGGGTGGCTTGCTCTTGTCTACAAGGTGCTGACGTGGCTGCGTCACGTGTCGTTGCTGATGTGGCTGCTGCCACGTAGGGTGTTGGTGATGTGGCTGTACCACGTGTTCATTCGCTGTTCAGGTTATCGTCGTCCGGAAGGAGGTCAGGGACTGTGGGGTTGAGATGACACGTTCCTGCTTATTGAGATGACATTGCTGCTTTGTTGATGAAGAGAATGCTGATGTGCTACGTGGCACCTTGAGGAACTCAGATCTGTATCTGGATTGACGCTGCTGGAGAGGGGGCGACTCTGATTGGCCCGAAGGAGAAGTGGGCAACTTCTCTTCCACCCTCAAGTCTTTTCTTCCCCCTCTCTCTCTCTCGTCTATGTATGTATATACTCGGATACTGGAACAGATCTGCTCGACATTATTCATCAACAAGACTGGATTACTCGAGTTGCTTTGTCATTGAGCCATTGGACTATTGCTGCACGAGCGCTGATGCTCGTGCGTTGCTGCGAACAGTATCTGGATGTTCAATGAGTGTTATCTTGCCTGGGTTCATTGCACTTTGACTTCTTTTGTTTTTTTCTCGTTAAAAAAAAAAAAAAACAACACTCAGGTCAATGTCATTCCTCCTGTCTTCTCCTCCACCCCCCTGCCCCCCCTCCGAAATCGCA